TTGTTACCCCTGTCCAAGAGATTACTACCAGCCTGAACATGGCCGCTCCTACTGCCTCTCCTGTCCATTTTATGGAACCACCACTGTCACTGGAGCCACCAGCATACAGCACTGCTCCAGTAAGTGTCACACACTGTAGACAAACACATAGTCTTCTATGTCAAACTGACAAAAATGCACACACAGTGTAATTAGCCCCCCCAGTTTGATTGTGTTTTGTGTTTGGGGATACAAGAATATCTTTGTTTTTCTGTTTGAACTGGTATAGAAATAAAGCCTCTGCTCATAAATGTTGTTTGTACAAATTCTCTTTCCTGCAGTGCCAAAATAATAATGAAATGAATGTTTGAGGCCTACCTAGAAACCCTTAATGTCTCCCTGGTGGTGACCGCAGGCTGAAGACCCATTTGCTATTGTCTGGTTGTAACAATAAGATTATTTTTAGTGACAGTTATGTTTAGATTACATTTACTGTAATGTCATTTGTTTCATAAGTCATTCACAGAGCTGCTGTTGGGGGAAACTGGGGATGAACAATATCAGGACATTATTTAATGACTATAAAGCTTCAGTGAAAACTGTCTTCATCTGTGTGCACAATTAATGTGCAGCTTTATTAAAATAAAACATTGCACATTATTCAAATGAGAAATGTCAACTTTGTGCCAGAATAGTGTCAAAATAAAATTACAGTTTACGAGTTGAACTATAATTTTATTACACAGAGCTGAGTTCTGTTTTCACCATTCTGCTGTGTTGAGTTGGAAGCACCAATGACTTGTGTTAACTGAAGTCAGCAGAGAGCAAAATATGTGGCCTGGTTTGTGTCTGTCGCCCTGTTTATGTGAAAACCTGCTGCCATCACTTCAGTTGTGTGGTGTTTGATCTGTGTTGTGACAGTTCAGTCCAGCTGGAAAATTGATTACTGCATGGGATTAAGGGGAAAATGAAAATAATCTTCTTCATCTCTTGTTTAGAATGAAGCAGATGAGCCCCTTGCAGGAGGACAACATTCCCTCAGGTTTTGCATAAATCACATGCACAGAGACTACACTGGTTATTGGATAGAGAATGAGATCTCACAAAATCTCATTCTATTGTCCCTCTTAACTACTGTATGTAGCCATTATAATAGGTAGAAGGATGAAAACAGCTGCTTCCATTCCAGCCATGGCCCCAGTCATCGGGTACATAGATGGATGGCTGAGAATGGTTGGTCTGGATTCTCACCACAGGGTGTCCGTTATCTAATCTGCACATACAGTATCAAATTAGAACACCAATATATTTATTCCATTCCTCTTTGAATGATTAAATCTCAGAAACCAGCTGAGGCCTCAAGAATGATTAATGTACCCAGGCTGAAATGAGAGTGCCTCTGATAGTGAGATAATGAGAAAAGGAAAGAAGACAAGGAAGCACAAAGAGATTATTTATTCAAATGCAAAAGAACAGGCCGAAACACAGGTATCCTAAATTAGTGTTAACCATCTTGAATTCATAGCATGGATCACTGCAGTTGTTCAACTTTTACTGGTCATCTTATTCAGCTTGGGGACTGCTGATGGAAATGTCCTTCATTTAAACAACTCTCATTACGAGTGAAATAATGAAATTGGTAGTAAGACTTGAAATTACATTTACTACAAAAGTAAGCACAGAGAAGGCATGGCAGTAAAGGTTTACAGCTAAGTTCATTTGCTGTGCTGTACTGTAAGTCCTGCAGCCTAGAGAGCATAAGTGCACTTTTCAATCTCTTCATAGTTACAGCTGCACAGTGAACATTAGCTGGAGGCAGCTGAACATATAGTATATAACAAAACTCAGTACACCCCTGTACCATATCACTACAACCTTAAATGATTCAAAACTGTACCATCTTATTTTGTCTTATTTGATATGTAATAAAAAAAAAACTGGCTAAACAGACTAAATACATATGGGCCTCAACATGTCAATGTGATCATTGTGATTATTGCAACAAAAGGCAATTTACCTGTGACTGCTGCAACACAAACAATTGTGCCTGTGATTTCCAAACCATTTTCCATTCTTTATTAAAAATAGGGTGTCGTGTCCAATAACATCACTGATGACAGTGCTCAGAGTGAACCAAAACAGCAAAGTTGTGGACTATAGAATGAAAACAGTGAAGGATGCTAAAAGCCCAGCTGTAAGGAGAACTTCAGAGTCCAATGACAAACTAATTCTCATTCAAAAATATGAGCATCACCTTTCTCATTTTGCTGCCCTCATTACTGTAGCTTTAAATCTGCAATAATGGCCTTTTTCACTGCCTGGGGACTCAATATTGACATATCTTCACCTTTTAAGTTGAATTTGTGAACCTGTCAGCAAGCAGTTGCTTATTTACACACCCAGCAGTTACAGAGCATTATTGCCATTTGGAGTCACGTGTCTGGTCATCAGGTCCAATATATACAGTACTTTCTTTTAGCTCTGTTTTTGGTCTCCACCAACTCCAAAATATCTGATTCTTAATCTACGAACTGCTTGAGTATGTTCACCAGTTAGCTGCTAGCACCAAGCCTCGTCCACAAACAGTGTGTACACACAATTCTGTGCTGAAACCGTGTATACAAACAATTTATGCACAATTTTATTCAATATTCTGTATCAATATTTTCTTACCTTAATTTGTTCATACTCTGTGAACAAATTTAATACTGCCTCACCCCATGTGTATGAACAAATGATGAAGGCCTGGCTGGCTAAAAAATGCAAACACATTTTAACTGAAACTATATTAATTAAAAAGGTTTTAATAGCTAATATAATTGATTAATATAATTTAAGGCTATAATGATTAATTTACTAATGCATTGACCAAATGTAGCATATTAAATAAACATGAAATTAATGCCCTGTCATTCTGATTAATCACAGTTTTAATTGAAATAAATTAAATTTAAAAAACTGTTCTAGTTTATAAGTATATAGAGAAATGGGGGCATGGCAGCAGGCTACTTGAAAACCACTGGAATGCGCCTGTCATTTTAGAATGATTCTGATTTACACTAACATACACACAATAGAAAGAACAAAATTGGCTGGTGTCATGAATATGATGGTAATGTCTCCTGCACTTATTTTGTGCACAAGGTAAGAACATTTCTATGCGCATGTTAGTGAATAAGGTCCACTGCCTGTCTGCCGTTTGGTGTTTACAGTCTTATGCAAAAGTTTAGGCACCCCTTGATACATAACAGATTTTGGTGATTTTTTATTTGAACAGATGTTAACACAGTTTCTCTTGGAAATGGAAAAAATGCACAATATTTTCTGCAAACAGTGATGCATAGTTACTTCTTATGCCATAAATTGAACAAAAATAAAAAATAAAAACATTATTATGGCATGGTGCAAAAGTTTGGGCACCCTACACAATCAGTACTTAGTAACACCTCCTCTGGCAGATATCACAGCTTGCAAACGCTTTTCATAGCCAGCTAAAAGTCTTTCAATTCTTGTACTTGGGATCTTCTCCCATTCTTCCTTGCAAAAGGCTTCTAGTTCTGTAATATTCTTTGGTCGTCTTGCATGCACAGCTCTTTTAAGATCTACCCACAAATTTTCAATGATGTTTAAATCAGGGGACTGTGATGGCCATTCCAAAACCTTCAGCCTGCGTCTCTTGAGGTATTCCATAGTGGATTTCGAGGTATGTTTAGGATCATTGTCCTGTTGTAGAAGCCATCCTCTTTTCAGCTTCAGCTTTTTTACAGATGGTGTGATGTTTGCTTCCAGAATTTGCTGGTATTTAGTGGAATCCATTCTTCCCTCCACCCGTGCAATGTTTCCTGTGCCACTGGCTGCAACACAACCCCAGAGCATGATAGATCCACCCCCATGCTTAATAGTTGGCAAGGTGTTCTTTTCATGAAATGCTGCTCCTTTTTTTCTCCAAACATGCCTTTGCTGATTGTGTCCAAAGAGTTCTATTTTAACTTCATCAGTCCACAGCACTTGTTTCCAAAACGCATCGGGCTTCTGTAGATGTCCTGTTGCATACTTCAGACGTTGGATTTTATGATGGGGACGCAGATAAGGTTTTCTTCTGCTGACTCTTCCATGAAGGCCTTGTCTGTGCAAGCATCGCTGCACAGTGGAACGGTGCACCACCACTCCTGAGTCTGCTAAATCTTCCTGCAGGTTTTTTGCAGTCAAATGGGGGTTTTGATTTGTCTTTCTGACCAGCATACGAGCAGTTCTGTCCGAGAGTTTTCTTGGTCTTCCAGATCTCATCTTGACCTCCACAGTTCCCCTGATCTGCCATCTCTTAATTACATTTCTTACTGTGGAAACTGCAAGCTGACAACGCTTTGCTATCTTCTTGTAGCCTTCTCCTGCATTGTGGGCGTCAATAACTTTCATTTTCAGGGTCTTACACAGCTGCTTAGAGGAACCCATGGTTGCTGGGTGTCCACAAGTGTGTGCACAAGGTTTGAAGAGTCAAAGTATTTGTACAGCTTTGAAATTGGCATTTACCAATGACAGCTGTTGCTGTGCATCAGATCTAACGAGCTGATTAAGGTCTGATACCTTGTGAGAGACTTTGAGACTCTGGAACTCTTAGGGTGCCCAAACTTTTGCACCATGCCATAATAATGTTTTTATTTTTTATTTTTGTTCAATTTATGGCATAAGAAGTAACTATGCATCACTGTTTGCTGAAAATATTGTGCATTTTTTCCATTTCCAAGAGAAACTGTGTTAACATCTGTTCAAATAAAAAATCACCAAAATCTGTTATTTATCAAGGGGTGCCTAAACTTTTGCATAAGACTGTATGACTTTGTTTGCTCTGTAGCAGAATGGAGATGAATAACACTGCATGCCTGAAGTACAGAATGAACAGTGGTTAGGAGATGCTGCCAGTTTTCAATAAGAATACAGGCTTTTATTCAGCTGGATAACAACTGTGTGCCTTTTTGCTGGCAGAGGGGAAAATCCTTATGTTTGTCTTGTCTTTGCTTACATTGTCTGTATTTTGTCTGGGTGTCATTGTCAGGTTTTGGATCAAGTTTTCTTCCAAAGGAGGAGAGTGTAACTGCAGCTCCAGAGGTGGAGGTCAGTGAGGACTACCAAGCCAGCAGTCAGGTTAGTTTTTACCTAAAGATTTTATCATTTATAACCCTTTAATGTCTGAAAAGCCTTGAAAAATGACAATAAAAACTGCAGCATAGTTACAGTGTTTAAAAAAAACTGAGCAAAACCTCTGAGTGTGTGAAGCAGGGTTTTCTTGTGTTTGAACAAATTATCCAGTTTGCTGTTCCTGCAGGTTTTCCATGAGTGTTTCCTGAATCCCTGTCAGAATAAAGGGACGTGTGAGGAGGTCGGGGCAGGATACGTCTGCACCTGCATGCCTGGGTTCACAGGTAAACCACCAGTCAGAGATTTACCCGGTGTTTTATAACAACTTCTCATCTTCACCACAGTTGTGTTGCTGTGACTTTGTATTTGATACAACCTCTGATATTTCTCCCTCAGGTGCAAAGTGTGAGATTGATATAGACGAGTGTGACTCTACTCCCTGCCAGAATGGAGGCCTGTGTAAAGACGGCATGGGAGACTACGAGTGTCAGTGCAAGGCCGGATTTTTAGGTATGGGCATTCTTAGCAGTGGGTACACAAAGGTCTAGAGTATAAAAGGTATACAGTACATGTTGAGCTCATCATCCATCTTTGTTTGACTCTTTACTTTTGTCCCCTATTGTCTCAGGCTCTTTATGTGAGGCAGAGGTGAATGAGTGTCTCTCCTCCCCCTGTCTGAATGAAGGCGTGTGTGTGGATGAGGTCAATAAGTTCACCTGCAGTTGTGCCGACGGCTTCACAGGTTAGATGACATGACTGTTTTACGTCTTTATTCTGGATATTAGTTTAGTAGTTTCCTCACCAGACAGTTAGGGCAACAGTTTAGCACAATGTGCATACTGCACAGGAGACATGCAGTGTATAACTGTACAGCCTTTCTTCTCCAGAAGAACATGTAAAAACTGCTGGTGTAAACGATATACTTTTTTCCTCACACTTCTGCAGGATCTCGTTGTGAGCTGGAAATAAACGAGTGCCTTTCCAACCCCTGTCTAAACGGAGGTGTGTGTGAGGACCTCACAGGAGGTTACACCTGTAATTGTCCCGTGGGCTTCTCAGGGGACCGCTGTGAGATCAACATTGATGAATGCTACAGCACCCCCTGTCTGAATGGGGGCTCGTGCCTGGACGCTGTTAATAATTTCAGGTAATAGAGATTCTGATGGAAAGAATCAGCCTCGTTCAGTTGAGCCATACAGTTTCTGATGTATTAGGACCTCTAAATAGTTACTTAACACAAATACATAGGTCTACTGCTTTTTTAAACACATGATCTATAGCTGAAAATGACTGATCTGACAGAGGAATAATGCACACTTTACACACCGTTTTCAGATATTTCACATATTACTGTCTTGTTTACCAGTAAAACCTTTAAGATTTGTGTTGTATATGGAGTAGCCATCTAAGTGATTCAATTGATGTGAATAACAATATAGGTAAACCAGCTTCCACTAGCAATGAAATACAGTGTTGTTGTTGTTCTTGTGTGTCACATGGTGTGTCTGCTGTGCCTCTCCCAGATGTCAGTGTGTGGAGGGATACCGGGGCCAGTTGTGTGAGGTGGACGTGGACGAGTGCGATCCCAACCCCTGTGTGAATGGGGCCAGCTGCCTGGACGGTCTGGGGTCCTACACCTGCCGCTGCCTCCCTGGGTTCAATGGAACCAGGTGTGAGACAGGTACTATGGGACAGATGACACATCACCATGGCAGCTCCATAGGAGGAATACACAGGAAGAGATAACTAATATAAATGTTATCAAATTGCCACTTTATATTTTCAGTAATGCAAATCTAGGGCATGACTTCATTCCCATTCATCTGAAGGGAAACAGTGAAGCACTTTTATTTTTGCTTTTTGGCCTTTTCTCATAAAACACATTAAACGTGTTATTACTAAAAGATGCAGTATAATCTCATTTACACATTCAGTATAATTAATTTAAAAAATAGCAGTTGGATAGAAGTGGATAAAGTTTGAAGGAGAGCAAGTTTAGAAAGATAGTTAAAGAAATGGTTTTGTCCCTGTTTGTCTGTCCTATCAGAGATGTCCTCTGCCTTCAACCTGGACTTTGAAGTGTCGGGTATCCATGGCTATGTAATGATGGATGGAGTGATGCCGGCGCTGACAGAGATCACCTGCACTTTCTGGATGAGGTCACTGGACACGAACAACTATGGCACACCTGTTTCCTATGCTGTGGAGGGCAGTGACAACTCAGTGATATACAGAGAATCAAAAGAATATAAATTGACATACACGTGTGACAGGGTGTATGTGATCGTTCTCCTGCGTCCCTCTTTAATATGTGTATTTTTTATGCTTTATCTAGCTCTCCTATTGCTTTATTGCATTGTATTTTTTTCTTCCCGTCTTCTTCCTCTTTACAGGTGGGTGCTGTATGTGAACGGCAAGGAGCGGATCACTGACTGCCCAGCAGTGAACACGGGCCACTGGTACCACATCGGGGTGTCCTGGAGGAGCTGGGATGGCGACTGGAGGATCTACATCAATGGAAAACCTTCAGATGGAGGCAAAGGCCTGTCAGTTGGCACCGCTATCCCAGGTGTAGTGCTATCCTCGGCCTGGTTGCGTGTTTTCAGTATCAAGTAATGAGCAAATTGCTTCAGTAAAGCAGTGTTGGGTATCTTTGTTTCAGAATAAATCTACAGTATCTCATGCTTCTAATATGAACAGTCACTCAGTGGATGAGGAGAATAATTTCTCAGTGAGTTGTGGTTAAACTCTGACCTTTCACCTTTAGGTGGTGGGGCGCTAGTATTAGGTCAGGATCAGGACCAGAGGGGTGAGGGCTTCAACCCCGTTGAATCCTTTGTTGGCTCTATCAGCCAACTCAACATCTGGGATCGTGTTCTCACACCACAGCAGGTAAACAGTCAGGGTTTGCATCTGAGGTGTTTAAATAATAACTCTCATGCAGAATTTCACAGAAGTATTTAGATATATGGACTGAGTCACTGGTGTTTAGTCTGTAGGATAGCACACCTTTTTGACACTAGGTAATTTAGCATGTAATTCTGACATAAAACTGGATTAATTATGTGAATATATTTTTTTTTCTGACCATACTGTAGATTAAGGTTCTGGCCAGCAACTGTCCAGCCTCCCACGTGAGCCACCGGGGCAATGTCCTTGCCTGGCCAGACTTTCTCAACGGAGCGGTGGGTCGAGTCAAAGTTAACCTCAACAGCATTTTCTGTGCAAGTAAGGCAGTGTATTACCTTGAATGATGACCTTAAAATGCTTAGCTAGATTTCTGCAGTGCTCTGGAATAAAGCTCCACCATTTCTGTTTCTCCAGACTGCCCCAAGCTGGAGAACGCAGTGCTGCACCTGCATGTCTCCACTGTGGAGGTGAGTCCTGGTGCTCAGGTCCAGCTGTCCTGTGATCCTGGTTTCTACCTGGTGGGGGAGCCGGTGCTGCAGTGTCAAAATAAAGGAGAGTGGAGCCACCCCTTGCCCAGTTGTGAACGTAAGGCAAATAAATGCAGTCTGATTTGCAATGCATATTACCAGCAGTCATACCTTGTGTGTTTTTTTTTTGCTAGTCTCTGGCTGATTTGAAGTTCAGCTTTTTTATACGTTTTTTTTTTTTAAAGAACGAAGGTGTTGCAAAATTTTTACTCAAAATAGGCTTTTCATGCTTAGTTATACAAGTCTTTATTGATTGTTTTAATTTGAGAGGACATGGTTCATTCATTGATTGATGCAGGTAGAAATCCTTGAGTAGTGAGATCCTTGATAATTTTCCTCTGTGTGTGTTACAGAGGTGTCCTGTGGACCTCCCCGTTCTCTGGAAAATGGCTTGTTTCAGGGGGCAGACTTTCATGCTGGCAGCTCTGTGGTCTATCAGTGTAATGCTGGCTTTTATCTTCTGGGAGACGCCAAGGTGCACTGCTCCAACAGTGGCAAATGGGGAGGAAATCCGCCAGCCTGTCTCGGTACTTTGTCATAACCACAAGCCATAAACACAGGTCACATTGCTTTTATATCAGTAATATGTAGAGTATAGAGACCATATTGTGTTGTACATCTGTCTGTGTGTGATCAGATGTGGATGAGTGTGCTCTAGGATCTGACTGTGATGCTCACGCCAGCTGTCAGAACACAGATGGCTCCTACACCTGCACCTGTATTCACCCGTACAGTGGAGATGGCAAAAACTGTACAGGTACGAGGACTTACAAGCATTTTAATGTAGATATATAGTTTTTTGATTGTAACTATTATCTTGATATATGAGTTTTTGCTAATAAAATCACTTTGGGAACCATTTGAACTGTCCATACACAAGCCATTTTATTATGTTCCCACCAGAGCCAGTGAAGTGTGTGAACCCCGGGTCACCAGAGTTTGGTCACAGAGAAGGCAGCAACTTTCTGATGGGCAGCGAGGTTGTGTTTGGCTGCGAGCATGGCTATGAGCTGATTGGCTCGTCTCGACTGCACTGCCTGGAGACAGGAGTTTGGGATAATCCTGTCCCATACTGCAGAGGTCAGGAGTCAACATAGCTAACGTCCCTTAAATAACATACATACACTGAATTGAGATTTATTCCCAGTACAGTATGGCCAATAAACTGCTCCTTGCTCTGTGTGATGAGTTTTCGAAGCAAAGCGTTTTGGGGCCAGTAGGATCTAAGTAACACACAAATGAAAATACAGCCTTTTAACTGATACACATATACAGACACAGATATACATTGAGAAATCTGATCCAGACTATAAAGTAAAGGATTCAGAGTCAACTCTTTGCAGTATTGTAACATTTTAATAATGCTTAAGCATCTCACATACATAGCAAGAGCAGCTCTTACCACAGTGCACACCCTCCTTTGTGTCTCTGATCTTTATACCATACCCCATACTAACTGTAGTCACTTTCTTTGTCGTTCAGTTCCCAGCAGCTCAAAGTGTACTGCTCCTTATTGCTTTGTGCTCCTCAGGTAACTGTCTGAGGGTAGCACTTTACTTTGTTTGATTAAGCAGCATGAGATATATAGTTCAGCATTAGTTTTCCACCACAACATGCCCACAGACACTATATGCAATATGCCTGATCCCTCTGTGCTGTGAAGGGGTGATTATAAATGCAGCACTTTTTGTTTTCCACTGTGCAGCGGGCTGAAAGGTCTGACCACAGCAGCATGTCCATCTCAGCTTTAAGCCACATTCTTCTTCATAGTGTCTGTCTGACTATGTCTAAGATTATCTCTCAGACAGCCTGTTACATTCAGGCCATACTGGCTGTTGATTGTCATTCTGAATGTGAAGTGATGGTAGATAAAAGTGAAACTCTGTTATCAGAAATATGTAAAGCGACTGCATGATGTTCTTTGCCAAAATTGAAAAGGTTAAAATCACATTTTTACAGTTTCTCTGTGTGTTACAGGCAAAGATAACAGGAGTTAAATAATTTATGTTTTACCTTAGAGAGCATTATGGTTCATTATGGCTACACCCCTGCGGTTTTTCAGCAGCACAAAAAGTAAACACAAATCCATACACAACATTGTTGTCTGCACATTGAGAGTATGAGGTGATGGGTGTGTAGCTGGGTGAGTCACTGGTGTGAGCCAGGTATGTGGTGATGGTTGATGTATTTACTAGACAAGCTTACAATGCAGGAAATGTAGGGAGTTCTCAACTTCATGGTGGTGCAGTACTTAGTGCCCTTTAATTCATTCTCCCCTTCTCAGTTGCACCTCTTCTGCACATTTGTAGGCTTGTAGGCAGTGTGAAGTCTGATGGGGCATTAGTCCTTTGCCAGAATCTAAACAGTGACACCTGTACAGGCACCTGTAAACTTGTCTTTCCTCATAGAAATGTGTATTTTTTTTTAACATTGGAAATAAAGGTGTCCCCACTTGCATTTAGTCAAATGTTACCCGTTAGAAAACAGCAGTTTCTAATCATGTCAGTGCTGGTGCCCTGTAGCCCTCCCCTGCCCGACACCAGTTGTTCCTGAGAACTCCATCATGAAGGGGAACAACTTCACCTATGGAAGCAAGGTGACTTTCAGGTATCATTTGCATCCCCTGCAACACCATGTTGTAATAATGACAGTAGGAAGGAGAAGCATAGTGTTTCTTGCTAATATTTGTATCTTGCTCTGTTTTCATCCACCTCAGCTGTATGAAGGGCTTCCTGCCTCAGATACCCTACGAGTTCCAGTGTCTCTCCAGTCTGAGGTGGAGCGGGATACCACCTGCCTGTCACCCAGTGACCTGCGGGGGGCCTCCAACAGTGGAGAATGCCTACTACACCCTCAGCACTAACACATACTACCTCTCCACTGTGACATATACCTGTGCTGAGGGATACAGGTATGGATAAATGACACCAGCTACACTGTTCTCCATCTCTTCTGAGGTTGTCTTAGTGAATAAATGTTATTTTTTACTATAAAACCACATGATGTTCAACTGCTACAAGCCCTGAAAATCTCAGCTGTGTTTTAAGCATCAGTGAGTTTTAGAATGTGCATTACCCACCCAATTTCTCTTAAATTAAGTTTGAATTATTTTAAACTTTTAAATAATTTAAAATAATTTGAGCTTATACTCCAAGTAAATCTGATTAATGACACCACAAGGCAGCTGCAATCTCCGGTGACATTACAGACTCTTACGATGTTATCAACTTTTGATTCATTTTCATAAGTCATTATCTATAAATCTCTGTGGCACTGTAATTGTAGTAGTGTGAGTGTATAAACTAAGTAATATGTTGGTGTGAAGACCACAGGGCTCCATGGAAGGTGTGTGTGAAGCGACAGGGGAGTGGAGTAGGCCTACTGCCCGCTGTGTGAGCATCCTGTGCAGCGAGCCTCCAGCCCTGAGAGATGCCGTGACCAGAGGAGATAGCTATGAACTGGGACACAAGGTGCACTATGTCTGCAAAGAAGGGTAAATGTGGTTGAAGTTTACTTGATTGAAAATTAAACATGTTAAAACTAAGGAGTTTTACTATAGTTTATTATATGCCTTTGACAAAATAATGGCATGAATAGCTTTCATCTATCAATGAACATTAAGGAACAGTAAACAAAAAAAAAAAATCAGTATTTGGTATAATCACCCTTTTGCCTTTAAAACAACATCAGTACACTTGTGTGCATTTTTTCAATGTACTTTGCGGGTTTGTTGTTTCAAACACCTTGGAGAGGTTGCCACAGTTCTTCTGTGGATTTAGGTTCTCTCAGAGTCTGTTGTCTTCCTGTAGTCCCAGCCTGATTCCACGATGATGAGATCAGTGCTCTGTGGAGCCAGACCATCTGTTCCAGGACTCCTTGCTTTTCATGTCTCTGAACAAATAGTTATTTATGATTCTGTCTGTGTGTTGTCATGCAGCAGAATGATTTTGGGACGAAATCAGAGGTTTCCCTGATGGTGTCATGTGATGAATAGGAATCGAAAGATTAGAAGTGCCTAAAATGTTTGCACAGTACTGTGTACATGCTGTATCAAAACACTTGAAAACTTTAACATCTATGTACATAAAAGTAAGTTTGATAAGTAGCTCAATGGCTGCACCACTTTGACTGAGCAAAGCTACATACATGATTTAATCTTTGTCAGATTAAAGTGGTGTAACAGCCTTTTCTCTTTAACCACTTAGATAGAGCTAGTTAAGTTGTAATCTGTCAGCAAATAGCAGAACTTAGTGAGTTTGTCTTTGCAGTGGGAACATTGTTGTGCAACCTCATTTGCCCTTAATTTTTTTTGTGTTCCTCTGTCTGCAGCTACACTCTGATTGGTCCAGAGACCAGAGAATGTCTGCCCAATGGCCAGTGGAGTGACAGCTCTGCTCAGTGCGTCCCCCGCTCCTGTGGACCCCCTCCTGCCATTGACCATGCTGAGCCCTTCGAAAGCCACCAGCTGTTTGGAGACACTGCTAATTACTACTGCACTGATGGATACACGGCTAGCAACAACTCTAAGATGGTGTGTAATGCTCAGGGTGTGTGGGCGCCTCCTGATGGCATGGAGGCCCCTCACTGCATAGCAAACTTCTGTCTACGTCCACCTGACCTCCCCCATGCAATTTTAGATTCGGTCAACAAACCCAAATATGCCAGCAGTACTGAAGTGAGCTATAAATGTGAGGAGGGCTTCATGCTCAACACCACAGCCACACTGAGGTGTCTGATGGGTGGAGAGTGGGAGCCTTCACCCTATGATATCAGCTGTGTACCAGTCAGGTGCTCCACCCCTGAGAGCATTGACCGGGGCTATGTGAGCGGAACAAACTACAGTTTCGGAGCTGTGGTGGCATACAGCTGCGACAAAGGCTTCCTGATCCGAGGGGAGAAGAGGAGAACCTGCAAGGCCAACGGAGAATGGGGAGGAGCTCTACCTACCTGTGAACCTGTGTCCTGCCCACAACCTCCTGCACTCAAGAATGGATATATCCAGGTTAATCAAAACCCCAGAATTAACACACAAATCCTTTTTATGATATAAAACAAACAAACAAAAAAGAAAACAACCTTATCTGTCTTCCAGAGATGCCCTTTCCCTGTTTATTATGGCTTTGTGTTAATTCCATATTATCCTTTTACAAATGTACAAAACTGCTTTCATTCTAAATTGTTAGCTGCAAACAAACTATAATTTAAAACTAAAAACAAACATTGAAGTTGTTTATGTATTTTCTAGCAGTTATGTCTGAAGTGATGGCCAGAATTTATTGCAGTACCATTGTACAAACGGAGACAATATTCAGTTCTGCTAAACTAGTGTAACCGAGAGAGTCCTTCAGGCAGGTCGGTTGTGTATAGTTTGTTTACAAGTAAACATACAATTCACCGTATATCAAGAATTAAGTTTCCAGTAGCAAACAAGCAATTTGTTCTTTCATGGAAATATGTTTAAATGATGTATCTCTCATTTTGCCCTCCACAGGTCAGAGGCCGATTTACCTTCAATAGCAAGGTGACATATGCTTGTAGTGCAGGCTACAAACTGCATGGTCGTCCAGATCGAGTTTGCCAGGCCAACCGCCAGTGGTCCAATAGCAACCCCCCCAGCTGTGTTCTTTTGACCTGTGACCCTCCTCCCAACATTGTCCACGGACAATACCGGGGCTCTGAGTTCCAGGTGGGCCGAAAAATTGAGTACATCTGTGATGAGGGTTACGAGCTGGTTGGGGATGCCATCTGGACCTGTCTGAAATTTGGAAGGTGGGATAAGACAAAGCGTCCACGCTGCTCACCGGTGCGGTGTCCAGAGCCACCGCTGGAAGAGAATCATCTGGTCCTCAAGGGCCTGGACTCTGAATCTGGAACAGTGGAACTATCCTGTGAGGATGGCTACATCCTTGAGGGCGCTCGGATCCTCCGCTGCACCCAGTCCCAAGAGTGGAACGACACCTTCCCAGTGTGTAAGCAGGTGTTTTGCGGCCCACTGCCTGAAGTGTCGTTTGGTGGCCCTTCCTTGCCCTCTGCCCTGTTCCCTTTCAGCTCAGTGGTGACCTACACATGCATGGATGGCTTCACATTAAAAAAAGAAGGCTCTGTGTCCTGTCTAGCCAGCGGGCAGTGGAGCAGTCCTTACCCAGAGTGTATCCCAGTTGAATGCCCTCAGCCTGTCGACATTTCTAATGGTATCATTGATGTCCAGGGACTGATGTACCTCAGCAAGGCACTGTACAGCTGTAGGACTGGATATAACCTAGTAGGCAACTCTACTGTCCTCTGTGGAGAGAAGGGACTCTGGATTGGAGAGGTACCTTCTTGTCGCCCAATTGAATGCTCCATCCCTAAACAGATAGCTCATGGAAAAGTGGTCTATACAAAACTCCAGTTTGGTCACAGTGCCACTTTCTCCTGTCGTCATGGTTACCGTCTTCAAGGACCAGAGATGCTGAAGTGCTTGCCCAGTGGGGAGTGGGATGTTGAGCCACCTGTTTGTGCGCAGATATCCTGCACCCCACCTCAACCCATTGAAAATGGTTTTGTAGAGGGCCAGGATCACAGTTTTGGTGTGACTATTTTCTATAGCTGTTTTCCTGGTTTCCAGCTAGTAGGCCAGGACCATCTGACCTGTGAGGAGTTTGGCTGGTCTGGTGCCATTCCTGTCTGTGTGCTCTCGGACTGCGGTCTGCCTCCTCACATTGACTTTGGGGATTATGTCAGAGTAACGGAGCATGGGGGCGACTCTATTACAGCTTCTGGAACATTATCCTCACCTATGGACTTGAGCTTCTTTCATGGAACACTGATTGAGTACCTTTGCCACAGAGGTTATGACCTCACAAGCCCCACCAGATTAGTGTGTCAGGAGGACGGGGGGTGGAATGGAACAGCCCCATCTTGTGTCCCAGCAGAATGTGAGACACCACCCAATCCAGAGCATGGCTGGGTGAATGTGAATGATACCTCCCTCGGTAGTATGGTCAGGTATACTTGTGAGGAAGGATATGAGCTTGAGGGAGACCCTGTGAGGCAGTGTGTATCAGGTCGACTGTGGACCAATGAGGCCCCAGTTTGTCGGCCTGTTTCCTGTGGTGACCCAGGGGACATACCTAATGGCACAACTCATGGTCGTGCTTTTGTGTATCCTGCGGTCTTGCACTATGAGTGTGGTCCTGGATTTGTCCTAAAGGGTAGTGACACTATCGCCTGCCAGGCAGATGGAAAGTGGAATGGCCAGAAGCCACAGTGTGAACCAGTCTCTTGTGGCCTTCCCAAAGTTCCCACTGACATTACTTTTAAAGGAGAGGAGTACACTTACAATAGTGAGATAGAACTGAGCTGTCAGCCTGGTTTCCTCTTACATGGGAAATCTGTCATTGTTTGCCAGGCTGATGGCACCTGGAGCCATGAGTCTCCTACCTGTGTGCCTGCCCGCTGTGGGAAACCCTCACCATTACCCAACGGGCATGTGCTGGGGTCAGACTTTGGCTTCAACAGCAAGGTAAAGTATGAATGTGATGAGGGATACACCCTTAATGGAGACTCCACACGTGTTTGTCAGTCAGATGGACTGTGGGACAAACCTGCACCTCGTTGTGATATCATCAGTTGTGATCCACCTGAAGACATCAGTCATGGCTTCCTGAACGGCTCCAGCTTCAACTACGATGACATGGTGGAGTATGTCTGCTTTGATGGCTATGAGGTGGTTGGGAATCCCATCCTGCGATGCTCTGCTCAAGGCCTCTGGGTGGGCACCGTGCCTCAGTGCCAGCCCTGCGTCTGTGCTCTCCCTGTGCTGCGATTCGGTGAGGTTCATAGCCGCGACCGCTCCTGTGGGGAACGAGTGCGTTTCCAGTGTAACGACGGCTACAAGCTGCTAGGTCCCCCTGAGGCAGTGTGTGAAAGGGGAGGGGTGTGGAGCCCTGGGGTGCCTGTGTGTGGCCGAGGGAGGTGCAGTGTCGCCCCGCCTACAGTTCCAAACGCTGTCTTGCAGGGCGGCAGTGCCACCTTCCCAGACACAGTTATATACAGGTGTCGGCCCGGCTACCTGCAAAAGGGGTACCCACACCTCTCCTGTGGAAGAGACGGCAGGTGGGGGGAACCCAAGATCAGCTGTGAGCCTGTGAGCTGTGGTAAACCTCCAGATGTAGCCCACTCTCAGGTGGTGGGAGACACCTTCACCTTCCCAAATCAAATCACATATAGGTAAATACTTTAGTTTGTTGTGAAAACTTATTTAATGGCATTTCTGACATATTAGCAACCACACTGCCTTTTGAGTTGTTCATTTAATTATGCAGATGTGTTTCATTGCCAATAATTGTTGCAACAAAAAAAGTCCCAGTAAGTGTGTGGGATCAGGTGAAACTAGCCAAATTAACATTAGGTATAAACCTGCTGTGTGTCACCATTTTTAGAAATATGTCAGACAGCTTTGATTTCTGAATAAAGACATCATTTCTGCCATTAATAGACATGTTTGTTTGTCGGTTTGCACTTTGTATCCTTGTGCTTTCTACATCTTGTTGTCCAGGTGTGATGATGGGTACGAACAAGCCACACAGACAGCTTCTCTGTCCTGCCAGAGTGATGCCACATGGTCCAAACACAGTATTCGCTGCCGCCCCTCAGCCTGCCCGATACCCACCAACCTGTCCATGCCCCACCTGGTAATCAGTGGGAAGGAGCTTACCGCTGTTGGAGGCACTATTACTCTCTCCTGCCCTCCCGGCTTCTACCTGCAGGGACCAGTGCAGGCAGAGTGTCAGGTAAGAAATGTGTTGGGTAAAGATTTGTCCAAGTCTCTAAATGAATAATCTGCTTTAATAATAATTAATCACAGACAAGATGTTGTAGGCGATGATACGCATGCACAGATTTTATGACTTGATTTACATTGTTTTTTAAATTTAGCTTTTTTGACAATGATGCATTGGTGAGAGATTTAGATAAGTACAGATATGAAAGGTTTGACTCATTACTGTAATCCATAGACCCAGGAAGAAATTTCTCTCTAAAACTTTGCAGATCTCTCTCCTGTTTCTTCACTGAACATGTCAATAAGAAGCCATGAATAATTTATCCTGTCTGGTCTTTTGTGGTGTGTGATAAGCTGGGCGGAAGCTGGGCTCCAAGCATCTCGACCGCTTCTTGTGAGCTGGTGGTGTGTGAGAAACCCCCTCCTATTCTTCACGGGATCACTGAAGGGGACAGCTACAACTATGGAGATTTTGTCATGTACTCGTGCCTGCCTGGCTTTGACATGAAGGTACCGGTGCTCATCAGGCCCTCACCTTAAAACATACATAAAAAACAACATCAAAATAACAAGCAAAAACACTGAAAAACCAAATCTAATTTAGTTTGTTTTGTTGTGTAACTGAGTTCAGTGTTTAATCTCCCTTTTCCAAGTTTTCTGGGTCCCAAAAAGATGTAATTAGTGTATGGTAGTGCCTTCAGAAATTCGGTCTTGTCTCTGATCCTCCTGCATTTAAACAACAGGCTGTCTACACTGAGCTAATGGATAACAATCAGATTTCAGAAAGTCACATGATTTCTCCTTGGTGATCAATAAGAGTGTATAGTTACAGAGCAAACAGAAGGAGCTGAGTCATTCTGACATACTCACATCCACTGATATATGAGCCTCCTCAGTTTGAACACTCGCTGTAATGAGTGCATTTTAATTCTCTGAAGACACAAAGGAAACAAAAGGTTCATATATGTACGTTCATGTTGCTTGCTATTGCTACACACACACACACACACACACACATATATATACAGAGCTGATGAATGTCCTGCAAAATATAGCGCAAGATTTAGATCTGATGTTCTTTTTTTAGTGTTACCTTTTGTTCTCTTTGTCACAGGGAGACTCCATTCAGACCTGCCAGGGAGACAGCACATGGACTGGCACCCAGCCAGCTTGTGTTGGTAGGTTAGAGTACATGCAGTACGGGGCAGACTGGGAAGATACAATACTGTACACCAATACAATTTCAATTAAAAATGTCCTCCTTAATGTCCCACTCTCAACAAATAAAACATTTTGATCAACCTTGACCTTTGACATGTTTGATTGTCTTGTCTCCTCAGCACAGTCCTGTGGGCCTCCTCCCACAGTAAAACATGCACAGGTCCAGATGACAGGAGATACTTATCTTCACAATGCCAGCTATGCATGTAATGTTGGGCTGCAACTGATCGGCCCAAAGACACTCACCTGTCTGGCTAATGGCACATGGAGTCTGCCAGCTCCTACATGTGAAGGTATGAAACATGACTAGGAAAGAATGGAGCTCATTTACTGACAGTTCTACCTGTATCTAGTACATGAAAGCCAGTGTTTAGAACGCCCAATGTGCCGTTCCCAGGAAAAGAAAAGGTTCTGTGATGTAGAAGGAAATTTACTTTAGATAAAGCTGGAAACCATTTGAGCTGCAATAAAAACATAAAAACCTCTTATCGTTTCCTTTCATCTCAGTGGCCAGAGGCTGCAACAGCCCGAAACAGATGCTGCACGGCAAAGTACAAGAACACAACCTGAACACTGGGCGCGCTCTGGAGTTTCAGTGTGATAAAGGCTACACCCTGGTGGGAGATCCTCTGGTGGTGTGCATGGGGCGCAGCACCTGGAGCTCCACTTTCCCCACCTGCCAACGTGAGAAATGTCTCACACAAACACACAGTTACATGCAGGCAAAATATAGTGGAAGTTTAACTGATGTAATAAAAATGGGTTAATGATTCACTACCTTCCTCATTTAGTCTATCAGGCTTCCTGTTATATTGCTTTCCTTACAACATGTCAACATGATCCCTGTCACAACAGCTTACAACACACAGACCACACACTCCAAGTCAACAGCCCACTCACAGTTCTTTGCAACATCAATTTGTTCATCTGTCTCACAACACAGACTGTGACAAGAGGCCGGAGAGTCCGAGGTTTTTTCATTCTTACCTCAGGATATTAGTTCATTTTACAGGGAGGTTAAACATTGTCACACACGTGGGTCGCCTAGCTAAAGGTTAGCTGTCAAAATGAAAGCAGAACTTAGTGCTCTCATCTGAGAAACAGTCATATGCAGCAAGATTATATAATATGACAAATCAGGAATTAGATACTGTATGTTATGTGCAGTCAACATAGAAATTGTGTAACCTAGAGCTGTGTTTCAGTGTTGAGTAATCAATTAGTCGAGTGATTAAAACATTTAATGTAAATTATTCTGTATCCAGATTCTCAAACGTGAGGATTTGCTCATAACTGCTTGATAATTTTTAGGCAAATTAAAGAGTGAGAGTTATGAAACTGTACTGCTTTTCTTTAACATTTAACATAAACCTTGTTACAGTTTACATAGTTTATACTCTCACTTTCAGTTTATACTCTCCACATACATGTATGTTTTCAAATGATCTCCGATGCAAATCATGACATCAGCCATGTTAGCTACATATCAGGTGGTAAACATCTAAGAAACTGTTCTTTTGTGTTGCTAACAGACAAAGTGTCTGCTGGATAATTACTCTAAAAAAAAATAATGCACCATTTGTGTTCCTCACAGCTAAGTTGTGCCCAGCTCCTCCAGGCTGGAAGGAGGACGCCATTGGGAACGGATCCCAGCGGGAGTTTCATGTCGGTCAGTCAGTCCGCATCACGTGTCCCAAAGGCCAACAGGTGAAAGGCAGCGGCATCATCACCTGCAGACAGGACCAGATCTGGAGCCCCATCAGCTCTGTGTGTGAAAGTAGGTTTTAAAGATGTATTATCCAGGCTCGGGATTTGCTAAAGCAGGAAACGTTAGTGAGATAAACGTCTCGTTTTGAAACGACACACCAAAGTTTTCAGCTGTAAATGTTACCATCGGTTCTTAGGTCAGGTCCTGTGATTCAGTAATTCTTCAAGAGTGGCTCATACAGATGAAAATTGTGCTGAATATGTTTAAAATGTTTGTGTAAAGTCACAGTGTCACTTACATGTAGCTCAGGGGAAAATAAGAGATAGATTTCCAGGACTTTCAAACTAAAATCATGAGGATTTCCCATTCTGATGTTAATAATGAACAAGTGTTGTCCAGTCAAAGTGGGAGATTCACAGCAACTGCTGATATACTGTGTATCGTTAAACCAACACACGTTTTGTATATAAATTACCTTCACTCTTCCTAATTCAGTTTCAAGTGTTTTGCCATGTTTGTTTTATTTAAAGTTGTCATTTATAAATTAAAAAGTATCATCCCTAATTTATTATTGATCAATGTTTATTGCTCTGTAAAATATCCTGCCTCAGTGTGTTTGTCGCAATTTATTCATAGCCACATTTTTTGATTATTGCAATGTTAACAATGTTAAGTGTTTGTGTAAAAAATCTGATTTTGCACCAGGTAATCTGAATTAATTAGGCTGAATTAATGAGCAAATCAAGTGAAAACGATGCATTTGGTATGGCACGCCTCTGCATGCTCACTTTGTCTTGTGCGTCACTCTACACTTGCATGGCTGTCTGCTTTAATGTGCCTGTGAGCTCGAGTGCCCTCTCTGTTGTCTCTTGTTGAGCTTTCATCGAAACAAATGAGGCTGCATCAAACACTGGACTAATTAGGGGCAGGTCTGCAGCTTCTATGACAACCTTTGTCAGAAAACGCTCTGATCTTTCTTACATGCAATTGTCCTGAATATGTAACACAATGGTGCATGTGTCACCTTGGCTCAGCGTTTCTATTTGCATGGAGTTTATTCACCTATGTGCATGTTCACTGTGATCCTTTTAGTCCTGTTTGTGTCCTAAGGGAAATTCTCAGTCAGGCCACACAGCTGAACTGTCTGACACATCTGGATATTTTGCATGAAGTTCACTGTGTTCAGGGATAAAGAGGGCTACAGAAAACACACCTGTTCTCATTTAATCTACACAGATTTCTCTCGCCGTTGCTTAATTGCATAGTTGTATTTTGTATGTATAGATGGGGGATAGTCGCCAAGTGCTTGCTTAAGGGGGATTTGTTGGGTTTTTCTCTATAATACTTTAAGGCCTTACTATGTAAAGTGCCCTGAGATGATTGTTGTTGTGATTTGGTGCTATACACATAAAATAGAATTGAATACACAGAATAACAAAAATCTGTAATACAATAGAGTAATTCTGCAGAACATGACAGTTTTGTGAAGCTATAATAGTTCAGAGTTTCTTGACTCTGACAGTTCAGCCCAGCCATTTTTTTAAGGTTGTTTGTATTGCTGCAAAGCAGGGCTCCTGTTAAGTGTTGGCTAGAAAGTTGCTTCCTGAATTGTTGGTGCATGAGTTGCACACAAAGTGGAAACAAATGATGACAACAAACACAAGAGCCCTCTTTTGGATGGGGAAAATGAGCAAAGATTGACAGTCTCAGCAGACTTTTAATGTAAGGAGCCACTCCTGTACTGAATGTAAGGTTTATTTTATTCAGAACACTTGGAACTTTTTAATGTTCCTAAACAGGAGAGTAAAATGTTTCTCAGCTGTTGAGCCCATTTAGTAAATCACAAGTTGTGAGATGAAACATGCAGCAGCACATTTAGATGGACACTAATCAGTGGTAGTGAGTAACTCCTGGGTCATTCCCTTTGGGCTGTTGTACAGGGGTGTCCTGTGGCCCCCCCCTCCACGTGGCCAATGGGGTTGTGCGGGGGGCGGTGTTCCAGTTTGGGGACGTGGCGGTATACTCGTGTTATGGTGGCTACGCCATGGAGGGCGTTGGAAGGAGCAGGTGTCTGGAGAACGGCACCTGGACGCCGCCTCCCACATGCAGAGGTAGAGAGAACACAGAAGGGACTCTGTCCCTTCCCGGGACACTTCCTGCCTCAGCTGGCTGTGCCTCTCACATGTGATGCCCTGCTGCTTCTGAGCTTTTTCCTTCTTTCTTGGACTGCTACTGCTACCTTGTACTGAAGGGGAGTGTTCACTTTTCTCTGGTCAGAAAGAGTAGCTTCACCACAGAACCTCTTCCCTCCTGCTCTGCAGTTACTGATGCCTCTCTCTGCACTCTTAGCTCTTTGTTGTGGCATGTGCCTCGTGTATGAGTATTTTCTGTGGCCTGGATCCAGACCCATTAAAGGAAAAATCTACCCTTAGACATGTGCATTTCATTTTAGGCACAGTTGTATTGGTTGGTGATTTTTCTAATGCACATCCAATATGATTTGGATCGATAAAAATTCACCTATCTAAAACATGCATTGTTTCAGTTGTCAAAGTGGAGCTTCAGCAGTCACAGGTGACCAGCGTGCAGTGCAGGTTGACGATACATTGTGTAGAAGACTAGATGGGTTGAGAATTAGTTTCACAAGACAGAGCACAAGTCATAAATTGTACTGTATAATGACCAAAGTTTAAGAAAAGAGCTGTAGTTTGCACACGAAACAAGTGTAATCGACATTCCCCACCTGTCTGCTGCCACTCTCTCAAATCAGAGGGTGACCTCTATATTCATGAGCTTCTTCTTCTGCTGCACATTTAAAGAGACAGAAACAACTACTGATCCCACACAGCATGAAATTCAAATGGCCACTGTTTTCCATATAAAAACAAGGGCTGGATCCAGGCTAGTCTTTTCTCAACAGCTGCTGAGTTTGTGCACTGTCCATAGAGACGTGTTTTGAGTTTGCTCAGAGGATTTTAACCTTGAGTGTGCCAAGAACTGGAAGGGGACTGCATCTTTTAATATCTTGCTTTTCTGTTTCTGTATAATGTGAATTCATATCTTATTGTCTCATATTAATTTGATATGCTCTTGTCTTGTGTGTGTCAGCTGTGTGTTGGCTGCAGTGTCAGAACGGAGGTGTGTGTCAGCGGCCCAACACTTGCGCCTGTCCCGAGGGCTGGATGGGCCGGCTTTGTGAGGAGCGTAAGTATTTATTCATCACTAATCATTGGGTGAACTCTGTTGATAGTGTCACTATAGTAACACCCAGGACATAGACAGCAACTCAAACAATAAAGTATTTACTCACAGGAATCCAGCCAGCTTGCTAAGCAGGATTTAGCACAAGGAGGGGCAGGGATAATGGAACCAAAGGTTGTTGTCAAATTTTATTCTCTCTGCTTCAACAAAATACTGTCAATTTATAGACATTTTGTCTTTTGCTAACTCATCACCCAAGTTAAAGGAGCAAAGTCCAAGAATCATCAGAAAACAAGCACATGATTAGAAACTGCTGTCATTTTCAGTTTGACCAAAATGCCTTTAAATACACAGGTTAAATTGGGGCCTTAAGATAGAAGAGTTGCAACACTGAGAGGTCACAAACAGGAGCAGGTCATGTGATTCATGTACCGTCAAACAACCGATTCAAATCCATTGTTTTCTGTGGGGAACAGTGGGATTTATCAGTAAATTTCTGCTGTTAATGGTTTGTATAGCTTTGCAAACTAAATCTGTTCCGTTATTGTAGATAGCTTAGTTAGCTAGGTACTTAATCGATTAAAATGACCCAAAATTTGAGGGAGACCATGAGAGAGCTTGTAAAACATGTAGTCTATAAATGTTTTGACATGTGTCACTAACTTAAAATGCCACAAGCATAATTATTGCTGTTGCTTTCAGCTTCTTACTTTAGATGATAGCAACCATCTAGCAGTGCAGAGAGAAAACTCAAACAGTAGCCCAAGTCAACAGTATTAAATGTATTTTTATTGTAAGTTGTAAAAGGTTGGCTTTAAAATTAAATTTCTAAAACTTCGTACATTATCATAGTGCTTAAACGATTTGTCAGATAGTGAAGTTCATCAGCAGCAGTTTTTTAATGAAAGAATTGTTTAGTTTTGTTGTAATTTTCGGATGTTTAAGTGACAAATTAAGAAAGAAAAAATCAAAGTTGAGAATTTTTTTTCCTTTACAGAACATTATTGTACTTTCCACCTGCAAACAAACTTTAAGATGTAACTCTGGCAGTGACTACACGCTTCACACAATTAAGACCCATCACTTGTTCTGTACCAGAAAACGATGCATCTCTCAAACCTGTGGTCACAGTTTCAGTTTGAACACTGAACCAAAAGAAGGTGGGGACTGATGCCCTTCAGTGACTTCCTATTTGCACCTCCTTTCATAACAGCGATCTGCATCCTGCCGTGCCTGAACGGAGGCCGCTGCGTGGCGCCTTACCAGTGTGAGTGCCCGACCGGGTGGACAGGCACTCGCTGTCACAGTGGTAAGTAAGTGGCAAGGGTTAGATATATTTTGGACAGGAAAGCATTACGCATTTTGTATTCCTCATTGATTTTACCATAC